ACTTCTTTTTTTTTCTTCTTTTTCACTTGCTCTTGCTGGCATGGTTTGCACTGAGGTTTGATGGTTGCGAGGGGGTGGGTTAGTTTGGTTGGTGGTAGAGTCGGTGGAGAAAGAGGGGGGTGGCTATTGGCACTGGGAACTGAGGGAGTGACAGGTTGGGGGTTCCGAGGTTTTGCCTGGGTTGGTGGGGGCTTGGCGGGGTGGGAAGGGGGAGATTGCGAGGTGGTATTGTTTGTCTTGGTGGTTGTAGTGGGAGTAGTAGTGTTGTTGGACGTCACGTTCTATTCGAGACTTCTTTGGGCTGATATAGGGATGTGGTAAGATTGACATTTGTGTAGATACCATAGCCACGATGTGTTCTCTTTGTTTATTTTGGGTTGCACGTCAATCATGTGATATCGCGTCTTCATCGCCTGGTCCAACTACACACTACTACACAGCTATTCTAGGCTCGTTTCGCAACCCCCCCCCCCATCTCTCACTCTCTCTTCCCCTTCATGCACTTGGTTGCCTTGCAAAGAAGGCCTGATCCCAAGACTGCGCGAGTAGTGAAATTCTACACAAACCCGTATAGCCACAAGGTGGTATCGCAGGGGTACCATCGATATTCAACCTCGCGCCTCACGACTCACTCTACACACATGATCGGAAGTGGGGGGGACAGCACTGTTGATACCGTTGCAGGCAAGGATCACCATCTCCCATACTTGATAGTTCAAAAGCCAAGAAGAAGGGGACGGGTAGGGGGGTTTACTCAAACCGTCTCAGCCCCGTTGCTAAACTCGGTTTAGCGCGTGAACCTGAGGCACAAGAACCACAGACGCTTTTGGTGCCTCAAACACTTGTCGTGTCTCATCCTGTTTCCCCCACCCCCTTTGCCGTTGCGCCGAACCCGCATCTTTTGTACTACACACACACACGCTCGTTTTTAAGGTTTTCCCTTTTCCCGCGCGCAAGTGGCAGCGGGACGATAGGCGCAATTGACAGGTGTAGCGCTGCTGCGCTGCAAGGAGCCGAGAACCTTAAGAGGACCGTTTTGCGACGCACGATGCAGTTGGGGTAATCTATCTCGCACCTCGCACGTTCGCGGGCTACGCGCTGCTCGCATTGAAGGGGAATTTGAGAACCGGCCTTGCGCACCCTGTTGTCGTTGCTAACGCACAAGAGTAAGAAAGAGCATGTGGAGTGTTGCATCTGTGTGTGCATTGCACAAACAGCTCGTGACGACGGAAAAATCGGATAGGCAAACGATACTTAATACGTCCTTTTAAGGGAAAACTAGGCTGCAAGGAGTCCTTTGCGACAATGTATTGCCTAGATCCCACTCCACGGTTCTTGGTAGGGGTTGTGCAGCCGTTGTTCCTGGCTAGTAAGAAACGCCTTGGCTATTGCAGACTCCTGCGGGGACCCTGTCCCAATGGAGGAATTGGGGAGGGGGGGGAGGGGGCCTAGGCTGGGTGATGTGATATTGTGGGAATCCTATAGTTATGAACTTGATGCCCTGACCCTGGTGCAGTTTCCTGACTAGCTGGTTTACTTTCACTTTCTTTCGAGTCGTGGGTTGCACATTGAATCTCTTCTTTCGTTCAGTCGTTCGTTCGTTCGTTGCATTTATTATCGTGGTCTCTCGCTGGCGAGCAAAAAGTCGGTTTGATATTGTGTTTTTTTGTTGTAAGACTTCTCAGACGCTCTTTTGCACGATAGCTTTTGTGTTGGTCTCAGTCACTCCTTTTTTCTACCTTCGTGTATCGGCCTTGTTGCGCCTTTTGTTTTTGTTTGTTTGTTACACCACCANTGTCTCTCTTTTCAGTTACGTCGAGGTCGAGGTTTGTGCAAGAGTCTTCGCTTCAGGGAATCCTTCTAACTCTCCTTTGGATTTTTTTGAGTGTTTATTGCGCGCGCCAATATGCATTTTCTACACGCGCTTGTCGTCGTTGTTGCGACGTTAGGAAACAATGTCGATGCGATTGCAGAGCGTGGCTTGGAAGCCAAACCGCAACGCATCTTGAGGGCTGCCACAAAACGGTCCGACCTGTATCGAAGAAGCGTTCGCATTACCAAAAGGTTTGAGACGGAGATGGCTTATGTGGAGAGTAGGTTGCTTACTCAGGTTTATGCATACCCGGGCTGACGATTGATTAGGTGAAAATGCCTGGAGCGATGCATCGACTTTTGCTTCCCAGGTCAAGGTCAGCTCGCAGAAGCCAGTGTTCACCCTCGAAGAGCACGAGCATCACTTGAAAGCTGTCGAGTGTGGCAATGATGCTATGAAGTTGCATTTCGTTGATGCCTCGTCTGCCCGAGATGCCCGAGCCGCCTATGGTGAGGACGGTGGCTTGATCATCACTTCACACAAGAGCTGCAACGACGAGGGTGAGCGCGAAGTTTATCGGTAAGTTACATCTCTTCCCAAGATATCGTACTCTGACAACCTTAGTGTCACCGATGTATCCTTTTCCGAGGATGGAGAAGCACTCGACCTGTCCGTCAAGAAGACAACGTGGCGACAGGCCTTTGACCGTATGAACGTGACATTCGGTCACACCACTGATGACCACATCGTTCGCCGCCATGCCGACTTTGCCATGATTCGGGGCAAGCGCCAGAACAGGGTTGCCATTCCCCAGAACGTATCCGAAGACGTCAACACTGCTCTCTTCGACTTGAGTTCTGAGATAGTCGACAAGACCTTTGCCTCTAAAGATTTCCTTGAGATCCTCGGGGCTGTAGTTCCCCTTCCTGAAGAATTGCCCGTCGCCGTCCCTATTGAAATCGGCTGCAAGCGATGTGCTACCACTGGACAGTTGGCACTCAACCAGGGTGCTTTCAACATTGACCTATCCCAAATCGACCTGATCCCCGACATCTTCCAGGGCGGCGACGACGGAAAAGAGATTTCGAGCGTTATCTCGGGCGGTTTTGTGGAGTTGGTAGCTACTGGCGTAGGTGCGCGATTGGATCTGTTTGCGCGACCATCTGCCAACGGCGAGTTCGAAATTGCTCTAATTCAACTCCCCATCGCTGGATTCGTTATTCCCGGAATTGGAAATGCAGGCGCTGTCTTCGAACCCAGAATCGCATTTGAATTCGAAGTCAGCGGTGGGCTTGAGGTCAACTATGGACTCGAACTCAATGTGCCTGACAACTCCAGGCTTCGAGTAGAGCTCACCAACCTCGGTGCTAGCAGTCTTGTTGGTTTCCAGGACACCACTCTTACTCCCCTACCTGTCACTGTCAACATTACAGATGTTGATGTCACCCTTGGTCTTGCCTTCAAGCCCGCCATCCCTGTTGGTTTCGATTTCCTCGGCCAGTTGTCAGCGGAGGTCACTACTGTTTTGGACCTACCTCGCCTGGATGCAAAGCTCTCGACCAACATTGCCGAGAACTGTGCTAGCGGCAACAGCTCCACTGATCCGTCTGCACCAGGTGCAAACAGCACGACGCAGTTGTCTCCTGATCTTATCCAGCTGGGTCCCATCGCCTTGGTTGAAGCCAATGTTTCCATTTCTTGCGATCTCAGCTTTGACGTCTCCATTCCGATCCTGCCACCACCGTTCAACCAGGTCGGCGTCGCACAAAACATTTTCAAGGCAGAATTCCCTCTCGTCTCGGAATGCAAGTCGCCAGAGACTGCTTTCGATGGTGCATCGGGTATTGTCGTTCCTGCGCCCCCAGTTGTTGCGCCCCCGGTTGTGAGCGAATCTGTCGCTCCGGAGCCTCAGGTTAATGCTACTCATGCGCCAGTCTACACAGTCCCAGTGGCGAATTACACGATCTCTTCCACAGTAGCCATGCCTGCTGCTACCACTCTAAGCAGTGTAGTCTACGCAGCTCCTGCGTATACAGCTTCTCCTGATGGTTCAGCCAGTACAAGCTGTTCAACTATCCCAAGCTACACAGCTACCCCAGACGTGAGTGCGACGACCAGCATGACTAATGCGAGTATATCCACAGCCCCGTATCTAAACATTTCCGCTAGTTACACTAGCGCCAGTTACCCAGTGCCCTCGGAACCGGCTTCGACTACCATAATAATGGCCACTAGCAGCACCGCACCCNCAAGCTCTTACGTCGATTCCAACTCAACGGCGATGATCAACTATCCCGTTCCCGTCATGTCGACGTCGCGCGAAAGCAGTTCGACTAGCGTAATCACCACCACGTCCTACATTACTTCCAAGATCTCAAGGACAAGCACGACGTCAGCTGCTGAGGCGCCGACACTAGATGCTGGATTCTCTTTCACTCTCTTTTCAACAGTCACCCCAGAGGCGGTTGCTCCGACTAGTATGGTGGAGACTTCAACTATGAAAGCTGAACCTCCTCTTGAGACTCCGTCTGCACCAGAGTCTACATCCACTCCAGAGTCCATGCCCGCCTCTTCTTCGCCTGCTCCTGCTACCACTTCATCTGAGGAGTCTGCACCTTCGACTTCCTCACCTGCTCCCGCCATGACTTCATCGCCCCAAGAGTCCGCAGTACCTTTGCCTTCTTCCATTCCCACTGTTTCTTCCGCTGTCTCTCCGTCATCTTCTGCTCCTACCGAGTCTTCTACTGTTTCTCCCTCGGAATCGACTCCCGCTGCTTCCTCAGCATCCTCAGCATCCTCACCCATCACAACATCAACCCCAATCACCTCAAGCCAACCATCTGCATCCCAAACACCATCGCCAACCTCCCTAGCGCCACCACCACCACCTTTCATGAGCGGCCCGCTCCCATCGCTAGCAGCCACGCTCAGTGAAGCT